GGGTCCGGGATGTGAACCACGGTCGACTACGTGGGAGTCCAACGACATAGCCATTATGCGAACTGCTGGTCCCTGGCCACATTGTTTTTCAGCGTCTCATCGTACCCAGATCACCCTTCCCACCTCAGCTCCATCACCTCCTCCACCCTCCCGGCCGCCCAGCCCAGTTCCCCAGGTAGAACTCCCTCTCCTGACACCTCTCCTTCGCAGTGCTTGTCACAGTTCCAGTTTCACGCTGATTCATATTATCAGCTGACTAACGTTTATGTGGACTATCTGCACCAGACCCGCCCTGAGGTCAGAGACAGGGCCTGCTTTAGCCCCAGAACAGTGCCTACCTAGCACACAGTAGGTGCACAGTAACTATCTGCTGATCAATCTATAAAACAGATCAAAGCCCACTGCCCTGGTAGAAGTTGAGGGTGAGGTCAAAGGCCGCCTGCTCAACAGGCAAACCTTAGCAACAGCCCCAAAAGGCTCCTGGGGAGGACCCTGAAAGCCACCGAAGCAGTCAAACTCCCTCATTTCAGAGGTGAGTAAAGTGATCTTGTCCAGTAACAAAGCAAGTGATGGTCAGCTCCCAGCTCCCCTGTGCCCCACGTCCTGCAGAGTGAGGGGTAGGTGGGGGACAAGGTCTGAGAGCAAGGAATGGAATGAGACTGTGGTGGAGCCAGACTCTCCCAGATCAGGCCCTGGGAGACCAGGCCAAGCCGGCTGGGGGTGGGGTGGGGAATGGGGACTACAACTCCCAGCAACACTTGCAGCAGCCCCAGCCGCTTGGCTTTCCGCCGGACAGAGGCCAGGTGGCCATGTTGACTGGGGCCCTAGGCGCAGACAGGAGAGACAGGCAGGCCAAGGCAGTGATTAACAGAGACAGGGACGAGGGCCTGACTGCCGAGGGAGAGAGGGAGGCTGGGTGGATGGCAATGAGCTGCGACACACCCAGGCGGGGGGGCCTGGGCATGAATCTGAGGGACATCTTGCCCCAAATTTTTGGAATCTTCAGGCTCCTGGGCACCTCCCCCCTTGCCCCGTGGCCTCTGGGGGCAGAGGTCCAGCCCCTCCCCCAGGGAAGCCCAGCACAAACGGGCCCTCCCCACAACCAGGAGACACTGGGGTGTGAGTGAGTGCAGTGAGTGCAGGGGGTGGAAAGGCACGCAGTTCCCCCCACAAACACGATCCCCGTCACCATGACAACCCAGCCCCGCCCCCGGGGCCACTCAGCAACCAGGAATGTGGCCGCCCCTCCCCCCAGGCCTTTTTTCGGATTGGGAGGAGGGGACACTCACACACACCCCACCCCCAAGCCCGGAGTCTGGCACCTGGGTCCCCGGCTGTGCTGGAAACCAGTCAGGGCCGGAGGGCCGGGCCCTTCTCAGGAAGCCAGACCTGGGCCGGGCGGAGGGGCCAGCCTGCACCAGGACACCTGGGTCCAGTTACCAGCTACTCCCCACCCTCCTCTCAGAGGGGGCAAGGAAAAACAAAAGGAGTCCCTCGAGGCTTAGCGATCCCAGGGGACAGGGACAGGGCATTAACAGCAAAAGCCTCTCCCGAGGCCCAGAACAGGGATGGGGACGGCACCGGGGTCTGAGGCTGGGAGTGCGGCGGGGAACTTTGATCTCTTTGATCTTGGCATTCTCAGTGCCCACACCCAAGTCGGGCATTAACGCGCGCTCCTTGCAAATGTGTGATGACGGAGAAACTGAGGCCCAGGACGAGGGCGTGGGGGGCGGTAAAGGTCAGAAGTGAGGAGACACGGGGTTCCCAGCAGGAGCACAGACTGAGAAGCGGTGCCACGACCATGCGTGCCACACCAGCGTCCCACAGAAAGCCAACCCAGATAGCTGAACAGTGTGGCAGGGGACCCAGGAGGCCACCAGCTGCCCAGGCCCAGGAGTGGGGGAGAAACAAAAGAACGGATGGAATTAAAAATAGAATGAGACACACCAGATACACCCGCCCTGCTGACTTCTGGCCACATAAAGGATGGGGCTGGAGGAGGCAGGGAGGAGGCCAGGGGCCTGGGCACTGCGGGCATCTTCCCCAGAGGGGCATTCCACCCCCAGCCTCGGGTGCTGGCCTCCGCTGGGGGAGGAGGGCCAGGAGAGGGGTATTCTTTTCACTGATGGAATTCCAACCCCTCATTCAAAAAGGGGGAGAAATTCCTACTGCAGTGGTACCTCCAGGCCTCAAGCTACAGAGGAAGTATCTTTTCTTGCATTTCTAAGTGAAGGGCAGCTCTTTTTCTGGGTAGAGATAGAGGTAGCGGATCTGAGGTCTCAGGGGAGCCCTGTACCCCAAGACAGAAGACTGTCTCTCAGGCAGTGCCTTTATATCCAGACTGTCACTCAGATTAAGTGAGTCAAGGCCAAGTGGGTCAGGGTGGGGCTGCATCCTGGAGACCCCACTGCACAGACCCCCAGGCCAATAGGGGAGGGGTCCCTGCTACCTCATATCCCTTCCAGGGATCCAGGCAAGTTACTTCTCAGGCCTGGACCCATCCACTCCCACCCCTTGGCATCAGCCTGACTGCACTGGACAGGCCTGAGGATAGGCCCAAGCTCCTGGACCCCAGGGCTCCTCTCCGGGTGGGAAGAGTGCAGGTGACCCCTCTCCCCAGCCTCAGACTGAGCACAGGCCCAGCCCCCTGGGCGGTGGGAAGACTAGCACACACTGGCTGCCTGCCAGGGGTCTGACCACCACACCCAGGACCCAGGGCCCAGGCCCCACCTGCCCCAGGAACCGGAAAATCTGGGGCAAGAGGCAGTTGGGGCCGGGAAAGTGTGGCAAGCCCGACAGGCAGAGAAGGTGGTGCCGTGGGGGAGGGGCAGAGGCAGGAAAGCTGGGCAGGCTTTGAGTTTTGGGGATTGTGACACAGGAAGCAGAGAAAGGAGGAAGGAACCTGGGTGGGGGGAATCCCTGAGTCTTGGAGGTTAACTGTTAAGTGCTTGGAGATGCTCCAGGAAGTTAGGCAGCAGGAAGGGGGAAGGAGAAGGCTAAGATGGAGTCACACCATCCTTCCAGGCGGGTCCAGCCTACCACGTGGCCCCATCTGGCTGAGCGCTCAGGCACTGAGCCCTTCTAGTCTCACCCAGAGTCGCCCAGCCACCCAGCAGCAGGGACTGAGGAAGGGAAGGTCCGCGGGTGACCTTCCATGTGGCCAAGGATGGTGGCTCCAGCCTGGCAGGTGAAGCTCCCTCCTACCATTCACCTATCTCAGGAGGGGCCAGGCCCCCCAGGCTCTGCCACTCTAGGGATCAGGACAGGGGTGAAGAATGGTAAAGAGTTGAGGGGAATGCCTTGGGCGTACCCCTGCCTGAGAGGGTATTCTTAAAACATTCAGGGCAAAGGGAGGGGAAGGGAGGGCTCTATCTTTCAGAGAGCCCAAGCCTGCCGTCTGATCTCTGATCTCCCTACCCCACCTCTGCCTTATCTAAAAGGCCCAGGCCTCCACAGAGCAAGAATCTTAACTGCCTCCCGGTCCTACTCTCTGTCTGGCAAGCCCGGGGGAGGGGGCGGGAGGAGGGGAGAAGAAATGAACAGCATCAATTCTAGGCCTTGCCCCCACTCCAAAGGTTGCTAGAAACCTGAGGGTCTTCCTCAGAGGGGCCCATGTGGATCCTGCTGCACGTCCCTACCCCTTCTCTCTTACCTGACCCACACGGGGCTCCCTACAACCCACAGTTTGGCCAAGGCCCCCTCCCCAGGGATTAGCCCAGCCTGTGGACTTTGGCCCATCCCTCAGAGGTGAGAGCAGGGACCTGGGTTCAGTTCTTGCCCTGCCCACCAGGGCCTTGGCATCTGGGCCAAGAAGCCAGTTAGATCAAAGGCGTAGGGTAAAGTACACGAGTGTTCACACACCACACACACGCAAGCACACGCAAGGCCGGCTGTGGTGCACCCTCACACTGCCCACCGCACAGGCCCACGGGAGGCCCTGGAACTGGGAGGGCCTGCATCTCTCTGCACTCGCTCCCTTTCCAGACCCAGGCCTCAGCTGACCATCTGGGAGTTTCAAGGAACTGGGAGCTCAAGGCACACTTCCAGGAGGGTCCACGCTGCGGGAGGGTCCACGCTGTAGAAGGGTCTCCCGGCTTTTCATAGAGCGGCTCCAAAGTTGCCAGCCACCCCGGAACAATTTCCCAAGCTCAGAGCAGTGTCTGGGCCAGCTGAACAGAAACCCACTGGGAGAAGAGCAACCCAAAGCCTAAGGCAGTCCTGCACTTGCACCCTGGCATTTCACTCCACAGGGGTCTTACACTCCCAGAGACCCAGTCCTGCCCTCGCCCTACATCAAGGACCCCCTCTGTGGGCACTTTAAACAAGCTGACAGACGCTCGCTGGGTGACACCCCCTTTCTTTTCCAGCACCTGGCAGCCTCCCTTTCTCCTTACCCAACCTGGCTCAGTCCTTAGGGGAAACCAAACACATCAGACTGGGCTTTGCGCTCCACCCTCCCACCTGGCCAGGTGCTGCAAGGTGGAGGGGAGGCTCTCATATTGGCGGGCTCAGTCAACCACATGGCCGAGACTGGGCCGTTCTGGCGGGAGATACTCGCATGGGGGGGTGTGTGCGGGGTGCAACTCGAGTTCCCTCCACCCCCACTAAGGCAGTTTGGACCGGACTTCCCAACTCCACAAGGGGCCCTGCTACTCTCAGCCTCAACTCTGAATCGGTAACATACGGAGGGACGCTTTTGCAGAGCTTTGGGCTGATGGGTCCTGGCGGGTAATTTCCGAGTCAAATAGAGACCCTGTTACGCCGTCCCCAACCGTCCTTCGACCCTCCCAACTTCAGACCCCTTAGAAATGCCACAAACCAAAGTTTTCTAGAAGTGAACTCCGCCTCCACCTATCCCTCTCTGGCCTGAGAGCCTTTTTAACCATTTACCCAGGAAGGAAAGTTTGAAGTGGGGGCGACGATCCATGGGGAAACTGGGTCTCTAAGGGGGCACCAGAAGGGGGTGGGGGGTCGGTGGGAGGAACTACACGAGTGGCCCAAACCCAGACTGCGCGCCCGAAACCTCTGGAGCATGGGGGCTGGGGGCGGAACTGAGCACGCGGAGCCGGGGCC